CTACAGCGGTTAACTGTGCTAGGTTGTCGGTGCTTTGTTATGATCTACCAATCACTTCTCACTGTACTCGGTGGTCTTCGTTATATTCAACAACCCGTCGCGATACTGGCACGCGCTGGCCACTTTTGTCCCACTACGATCCCCTGGCATCTTTGGCGCGTGCTTTGGAATCATTTCCGATTTTTTAAAGAATTTCTTGTTATTTTTTAGGAGTCAGATTTTGGCGATTGCCCCCGGAGTGTTTGGTATCTTTACTTTGCGCTTTTTAATAGGCCAGTGTTGATGTGTTGAGGCGTTTTCCTGCCATTCTCCAATGTTTCTGTGGTTGACACTTTTCAAGCAACTCACTCACCATGTGTTACGGTACGTGTGACGGTGCATGTACATGTTACGGTGTGGGTCACTGGGTGAGTGTTTGTTTGGTATTGTAACATCATGGGTATACTTGACTTGGCATGCTTTATACTTGCAAAGGCCATGATAGTAACTATATTGCGTGCGTGCAACTTGTCCAAAACCAAAAATAAGTGGAAGTGGAGGCTTGTACATTTCATGTTGAGACACTCATCCTTTTCAAGTTCGTAAAATTATTCATAGAATCGTTTTTGAAATGTAAGAATGACGTCTAGTCTTACCGGCTCTGGTGTGATGCAGTTACTGGGCGAAGTGGATTACAGCGATAACGCTATGCAGTGAAATGCAAATTCAAGCACACCGATGCAGTCACCCAGCCCTAGATAGTAGATACCACGGTGAATAGAATACAAGCAGTAAGATGTTGCCACAGATTATATCAACTTTAAACATGTTACTCAGTGCCGGCGTAATGATTCAATCGGTTGACAATCAAACAGTTGGTGCTCAGCGTGGTAATAATGACTGTATGTAAGTCAGCCATATCTGTTCAGTGGGGATTTCATAGTAATGTCTGTTCACTGGGGATTCCACTGATAGTTCTATCAAGATAATCATTTTACTTTTTGAATATCTCAGTAAATTTCATCCAAGCTAGAAGTTTATTTTTAACTGAACACTGAGGCTAGTTCAGCCATAGCAGTGTGTGTGTGTGGTGGGGGGGGGGGGGGGGGGGGAGGGTATGTGTGTGTCATCATTGCAACATTGGTTTATCTTTGGCCCGTTCATGTGCATAGCAAACCCCGTTGTAGTCTAGTTCGGGACATTGACCAAGCCGAGGATATTGACACCACCTCGGCCAGCACTATCCACCCACCATGTAGTGTTGGCAGTGGCTAATCGCACTGCGTTGTACTGACCTACTTCTACTGGCTGTGCACCGGCACGGCTTGTGAGCTGCAGGCCCATCCACACGTTCTTGCCAAACAACTGGCCGGGTAGTGCTGCATAGTGATGGATCGGGTGACGGCTTCTTATGTACTCGGGATCGTTGGCTATGTACGGATGCCACACTCGTGGGTCACACGATGTTATACGGCTAGTGAACAGCACTTGATCAGTATCTTTCGGTACGTCTCCGCTTTTCTCAAAGAACACCAGATAGGCGAAACGAATGTTGATGGGAGCGGAGAAGCCAAAATTGCTGATGGACGCGTCAAACGTGATATTGTGCTCAATAAATGGCGTAATTGAGTACGACACTGTCAGCAGCTGCAGCCGGTACCCCAGGTGGTCACGGATGTACTCGAACATTGTGTGAGGTTGCAGCAGGTACTCGGGTTGCGCCGGCATGAAGGATTCCTGTAATTGCGTTGCGTTCAGAGGTTCTTTCATCCAGGAATTGATTGGTCCAGGGTTTTGTCCAGTGGGATCGTAGCCGTATTCAAGTGAGAATGTATCGTAGTGGTGTAGACGCATGTGCACCGCTGCTTGAAAGCCACTCACAGCCGCCACATTGGATGCGTTCTCGGGCAATGCACCATCAACAGCTACAAACGGGCTCTCCGCCGTCATGTAGTCAAACATTGGGTAGCCAGGCTGGAACTGACGGGCAAGCAGCCCTGGTTCAAGTGGTCGCCTTGGATAGCCGCAGCAAAGAAGAAAAACAAGAAAACAAGAGGGGATGTTAAAGTCAATACACTAGTGATACCACACCACTCACTACAGAATAAACTTACTCAAGTACGAGTATGCCATTGAAGGAGGGATGGATGGATGGGGGGGGGGGGGGGGGTGATTGAATAGAATCACCATGATTGTATCGCAAAGTGCCGCAAGCTGTTTTACCACTCCAGCGGTTCTTACCTGGACAACGATGGCGACGATTCCAATGTGAACTGGTTTGCCAGCATGAACTGATCATTGTGGAAACCAATTCTGGCAAAGGCAAAGGAGCTTCTCTGTGTGCTGTTAGTGACGACACCGCGACTCCACAGCTTGCTGTTCTCAGACACGCTCTGCTTCAGCAGCCAGTTTTCTTTGTACAGAGGAGATGCCACCTGGAATAACATGAAGAGCAAGATTGCCGCCTGTGTTTCTTATTGAGTGGCAGACCAGTGCTCATGCAGTCACGGTGTCACAGTAAGTTGGCACTCCATAGTCCATACAAAGCATCTCAAATTGTGATGTTTTCTGATCGCGAGCTTTGGGACTATGCACATACACACGCGCGCGCACATCCTCCACATGCCTTATTATGAAGACGGAATAAGCAGCAGGGGCGTAGCAGGGGTTTTGGAAGTGGTACGACCGAAGGTCGGTGCGGCCGAAGGCCGTGTTGGAGGGGGGGGGTCCGAGGGACCTCCCGCGCGGGAAAATTTTGTAAAAAAGACACAAAATGCTGCGTTCTGGGAACTTCTGGCACTGGCGCAGTCGAGTCGAGTACATGTATACAGTAGATTACTAGTACTCAGTCCGACTGCAGATGCATAACAGATCTACGAGTAGATCTACGAGTCTAGAAAAAGTCAAAGTCTGATGCGCATATGCGATGCATCGATATGGATCCTGATTTTTTTTATTACGGTTTTGCACGTTCCGGACGGACCACACTTTTCGAAAAGTGGTACGGCCATGGTCGTGCCAGTCGTAGCGGGTGCTACGCCCCTGAGCAGTTACAAGATCACTAGGACTACAGTCAATGACTCCAATCTCAACTGACCTGCACTTGTCGAGAGCTGTTCCCTGCAGTCCATTTGAAAAGCTCCTCGGCAACAAGAGCAGCCAGGCCACTGTGATTTGCTTCCAAGTGGTTGAAGCTGCCATACCACTCTCCACGATAACCAATAAAGCCAGCCTGGAGGTCATGTACGAACAAGAAAGACAGTGAAATGGCCGTTCTAAGGTGGCAGGTGACAGAGTTACTACACGAGCGGTCGAGGAAGCTCAACTCGGTCGTTTATCGAACAATACTAACATCCAGCATATACAACGCCTCCTGTCAGCAAACATCCAGTCATAGTGTGCAAAACAAACTGCAGTCCTGTCCACCAGATGCACAATTTCTAATTTTAAAAAAGATGGGAGGGTGTGAATCATACGCTGCATCACCATGTTGCTTCAGCTACCGATCCGGATTCTCAGCCGTGACACGGTCCCAAACGGGGCTTATCTGAACTCCCTCAACTCCCCTCTTCGTCCCCTCCTCGCTAGAACTTTTGGATTCTCGCTGTCTGCCTGCTTCCGAGCCATGCAGATAATGGCGGCTATTATGATGTGACATGGATCTACTTTACCGGCTTGGTCATTGCTCGGGATACAACATGTACCGGAGTGTAGTTTGTGTTGCGGTCAGTTATATTTCTGACTGTCTCCACGGCTCAGTGCTGTGTCTATGCTGATACAGCGATAGTGTTGAAGATAGTGATATCCTCAGACCTCACCTATTGCTATGAGTATGAGTCGAGTATGACTAGGACAGAGCTCACTTGTATTGTAAGTATGCTATCAGCATTGCGTTTGATCACGGGTTGTAGACTTGTAGAGTGGCTGAGCACATCACCATACGAAGGTCCTGCACTGGGTGGGCGCGTCTTGGAGTAGGCAAAGCGAACGATAGCAGTCATATTGGCAGATGCAAGCGTGTCGAATACTTTCTGAATGGCGTTCAGCTCATCCTGTGGCAATGCTTTTCCAATGAAGTCCGTGAGGTAGCACAGAAACAGTGCAACTGAACATGTACGATTCGCCTGATCTCCGGAGATTTCAGTGAGAGTAGTAGATTCTGGAGCATTTCTGACTGAGCCTGCCGTGAAAGGCTTGTGAAATCCTCTCTCAGGATTCAAAATCTCGTCGCCTGTTCCCGCATAGGACCAGCTATTGGCATAATTCCCCAGTGCGCTAGAGCAACCGAGCAATAGCAGGCCCGCTATGAAGAGAGTTAGCAGTTGCATTGCGGAACTCTGAGTTCCTGTCTGCCACGAAAATGATAATGCAAGAATCTACAATATGATTGTAGCTACTGGTGATTTCTTTTCAATGATTGAAGTGAAACTGGTTTCTCAAAACTGACAAAAGAAATGAATGGGAATGCAAAACTAGCTACATACATGACATCTTTGTGACTCAGTGTGGAAGTGAGTATTTCTCAACACTGCGGTCACATGGCCCGGAGCAATCCATCAAGCTGATCAAGGACTTGTATACATGTACATCAAGGCTAAGTCCTTTACTTATCATGAAGACTGCAAGTGCAACAAGACCCGGCCGGGTAGATCTACGCACTACACAGGTGCCGAGCTGGGTTTCATGGGTACTTTTTCCTATGGTTCCAATGATATCCATGACTACAACTACAAGTTTGAAGTGGACTCCCATGTGATCTACGGCGCACTAACATAATCATTATCAATTATCATCCACTCGATTGTGGAAGAGGGAATGATTCAATCAAACACGCATGATGCAGTAAGTATGATGCTCTGCGACGTGTGCGATCAATGAAATAATCATTTCGGACGACTCGGAGTTAGCGTGTGTTACGATCTCTACAGTTCTGAAAGTCTCAGCGGGGAGGGGAAGATGAGTGGCAGACTCGCTATCTCCAGAGCTGTGTGTAGCCTACTGCTTTTACTTACTACGATCAACTCCTCGTCGCTGCTGGTCAAAGCTCAGGCGGTGACGGTGCAACTGACACTTCTACCAGAGGCAGCAGGTAGCAAGGTGAGAGACTCATCACCGACACACCACCACTGAATCAGCTGGTATGATTAGATTTTCATCGTAAAGGGGACAAGATACTAACTAACAGTTACTTCCCCTACTATCACTACCATACCTGCCAACCTTTGCAAACCTGAGATCGGGACAATGACATACCTAGGTATGAAAATGTATACAAATGTAGATGTGACTTGTGAGCCATCTGGCAAATCATGCGGCACTTTTGGGTGCCTACTACCACCCTCGATATGGGGACGGTCCCTGCCAAATCGACATGGTTGCACTACACTCTCGCGCTGAACACCTCACAATCTTTAGAACCGATGAGGCGTTGACCAACAACATGCACAAAGAGTGCATACCAGTACTGTAGTACAACTTGAACGGCTCCATGCTTGCTGGTTGTGAGGGTGATCGATTGAGACACACGGTTCACGGATGGCCAAGTAGAAAGTATTCTGTTCTGAAGAGACGGTCGAATGTACTGCTCAATTATTCTCTGAAAGGGTGGACTCAGTAATATCAGCTTCACAATGCGGTCGTGCATAACTTACTGGCCAAGTAGAAAGTATTCTGTTCTGAAGAGACGGTCGAATGTACTGCTCAATTATTCTCTGAAAGGGTGGACTCAGTAATATCAGCTTCACAATGCGGTCGTGCATAACTTACTGGCCAAGTAGAAAGTATTCTGTTCTGAAGAGACGGTCGAATGTACTGCTCAATTATTCTCTGAAAGGGTGGACTCAGTAATATCAGCTTCACAATGCGGTCGTGCATAACTTACTGGCCAAGTAGAAAGTATTCTGTTCTGAAGAGACGGTCGAATGTACTGCTCAATTATTCTCTGAAAGGGTGGACTCAGTAATATCAGCTTCACAATGCGGTCGTGCATAACTTACTGGCCAAGTAGAAAGTATTCTGTTCTGAAGAGACGGTCGAATGTACTGCTCAATTATTCTCTGAAAGGGTGGACTCAGTAATATCAGCTTCACAATGCGGTCGTGCATAACTTACTGGCCAAGTAGAAAGTATTCTGTTCTGAAGAGACGGTCGAATGTACTGCTCAATTATTCTCTGAAAGGGTGGACTCAGTAATATCAGCTTCACAATGCGGTCGTGCATAACTTACTGGCCAAGTAGAAAGTATTCTGTTCTGAAGAGACGGTCGAATGTACTGCTCAATTATTCTCTGAAAGGGTGGACTCAGTAATATCAGCTTCACAATGCGGTCGTGCATAACTTACTGGCCAAGTAGAAAGTATTCTGTTCTGAAGAGACGGTCGAATGTACTGCTCAATTATTCTCTGAAAGGGTGGACTCAGTAATATCAGCTTCACAATGCGGTCGTGCATAACTTACTGGCCAAGTAGAAAGTATTCTGTTCTGAAGAGACGGTCGAATGTACTGCTCAATTATTCTCTGAAAGGGTGGACTCAGTAATATCAGCTTCACAATGCGGTCGTGCATAACTTACTGGCCAAGTAGAAAGTATTCTGTTCTGAAGAGACGGTCGAATGTACTGCTCAATTATTCTCTGAAAGGGTGGACTCAGTAATATCAGCTTCACAATGCGGTCGTGCATAACTTACTGGCCAAGTAGAAAGTATTCTGTTCTGAAGAGACGGTCGAATGTACTGCTCAATTATTCTCTGAAAGGGTGGACTCAGTAATATCAGCTTCACAATGCGGTCGTGCATAACTTACTGGCCAAGTAGAAAGTATTCTGTTCTGAAGAGACGGTCGAATGTACTGCTCAATTATTCTCTGAAAGGGTGGACTCAGTAATATCAGCTTCACAATGCCGTGCATAACTTACTGGCCAAGTAGAAAGTATTCTGTTCTGAAGAGACGGTCGAATGTACTGCTCAATTATTCTCTGAAAGGGTGGACTCAGTAATATCAGCTTCACAATGCCGTGCATAACTTACTGGCCAAGTAGAAAGTATTCTGTTCTGAAGAGACGGTCGAATGTACTGCTCAATTATTCTCTGAAAGGGTGGACTCAGTAATATCAGCTTCACAATGCCGTGCATAACTTACTGGCCAAGTAGAAAGTATTCTGTTCTGAAGAGACGGTCGAATGTACTGCTCAATTATTCTCTGAAAGGGTGGACTCAGTAATATCAGCTTCACAATGCCGTGCATAACTTACTGGCCAAGTAGAAAGTATTCTGTTCTGAAGAGACGGTCGAATGTACTGCTCAATTATTCTCTGAAAGGGTGGACTCAGTAATATCAGCTTCACAATGCGGTCGTGCATAACTTACTGGCCAAGTAGAAAGTATTCTGTTCTGAAGAGACGGTCGAATGTACTGCTCAATTATTCTCTGAAAGGGTGGACTCAGTAATATCAGCTTCACAATGCGGTCGTGCATAACTTACTGGCCAAGTAGAAAGTATTCTGTTCTGAAGAGACGGTCGAATGTACTGCTCAATTATTCTCTGAAAGGGTGGACTCAGTAATATCAGCTTCACAATGCGGTCGTGCATAACTTACTGGCCAAGTAGAAAGTATTCTGTTCTGAAGAGACGGTCGAATGTACTGCTCAATTATTCTCTGAAAGGGTGGACTCAGTAATATCAGCTTCACAATGCGGTCGTGCATAACTTACTGGCCAAGTAGAAAGTATTCTGTTCTGAAGAGACGGTCGAATGTACTGCTCAATTATTCTCTGAAAGGGTGGACTCAGTAATATCAGCTTCACAATGCGGTCGTGCATAACTTACTGGCCAAGTAGAAAGTATTCTGTTCTGAAGAGACGGTCGAATGTACTGCTCAATTATTCTCTGAAAGGGTGGACTCAGTAATATCAGCTTCACAATGCGGTCGTGCATAACTTACTGGCCAAGTAGAAAGTATTCTGTTCTGAAGAGACGGTCGAATGTACTGCTCAATTATTCTCTGAAAGGGTGGACTCAGTAATATCAGCTTCACAATGCGGTCGTGCATAACTTACTGGCCAAGTAGAAAGTATTCTGTTCTGAAGAGACGGTCGAATGTACTGCTCAATTATTCTCTGAAAGGGTGGACTCAGTAATATCAGCTTCACAATGCGGTCGTGCATAACTTACTGGCCAAGTAGAAAGTATTCTGTTCTGAAGAGACGGTCGAATGTACTGCTCAATTATTCTCTGAAAGGGTGGACTCAGTAATATCAGCTTCACAATGCGGTCGTGCATAACTTACTGGCCAAGTAGAAAGTATTCTGTTCTGAAGAGACGGTCGAATGTACTGCTCAATTATTCTCTGAAAGGGTGGACTCAGTAATATCAGCTTCACAATGCGGTCGTGCATAACTTACTGGCCAAGTAGAAAGTATTCTGTTCTGAAGAGACGGTCGAATGTACTGCTCAATTATTCTCTGAAAGGGTGGACTCAGTAATATCAGCTTCACAATGCGGTCGTGCATAACTTACTGGCCAAGTAGAAAGTATTCTGTTCTGAAGAGACGGTCGAATGTACTGCTCAATTATTCTCTGAAAGGGTGGACTCAGTAATATCAGCTTCACAATGCGGTCGTGCATAACTTACTGGCCAAGTAGAAAGTATTCTGTTCTGAAGAGACGGTCGAATGTACTGCTCAATTATTCTCTGAAAGGGTGGACTCAGTAATATCAGCTTCACAATGCGGTCGTGCATAACTTACTGGCCAAGTAGAAAGTATTCTGTTCTGAAGAGACGGTCGAATGTACTGCTCAATTATTCTCTGAAAGGGTGGACTCAGTAATATCAGCTTCACAATGCGGTCGTGCATAACTTACTGGCCAAGTAGAAAGTATTCTGTTCTGAAGAGACGGTCGAATGTACTGCTCAATTATTCTCTGAAAGGGTGGACTCAGTAATATCAGCTTCACAATGCGGTCGTGCATAACTTACTGGCCAAGTAGAAAGTATTCTGTTCTGAAGAGACGGTCGAATGTACTGCTCAATTATTCTCTGAAAGGGTGGACTCAGTAATATCAGCTTCACAATGCGGTCGTGCATAACTTACTGGCCAAGTAGAAAGTATTCTGTTCTGAAGAGACGGTCGAATGTACTGCTCAATTATTCTCTGAAAGGGTGGACTCAGTAATATCAGCTTCACAATGCGGTCGTGCATAACTTACTGGCCAAGTAGAAAGTATTCTGTTCTGAAGAGACGGTCGAATGTACTGCTCAATTATTCTCTGAAAGGGTGGACTCAGTAATATCAGCTTCACAATGCGGTCGTGCATAACTTACTGGCCAAGTAGAAAGTATTCTGTTCTGAAGAGACGGTCGAATGTACTGCTCAATTATTCTCTGAAAGGGTGGACTCAGTAATATCAGCTTCACAATGCGGTCGTGCATAACTTACTGGCCAAGTAGAAAGTATTCTGTTCTGAAGAGACGGTCGAATGTACTGCTCAATTATTCTCTGAAAGGGTGGACTCAGTAATATCAGCTTCACAATGCGGTCGTGCATAACTTACTGGCCAAGTAGAAAGTATTCTGTTCTGAAGAGACGGTCGAATGTACTGCTCAATTATTCTCTGAAAGGGTGGACTCAGTAATATCAGCTTCACAATGCGGTCGTGCATAACTTACTGGCCAAGTAGAAAGTATTCTGTTCTGAAGAGACGGTCGAATGTACTGCTCAATTATTCTCTGAAAGGGTGGACTCAGTAATATCAGCTTCACAATGCCGTGCATAACTTACTGGCCAAGTAGAAAGTATTCTGTTCTGAAGAGACGGTCGAATGTACTGCTCAATTATTCTCTGAAAGGGTGGACTCAGTAATATCAGCTTCACAATGCGGTCGTGCATAACTTACTGGCCAAGTAGAAAGTATTCTGTTCTGAAGAGACGGTCGAATGTACTGCTCAATTATTCTCTGAAAGGGTGGACTCAGTAATATCAGCTTCACAATGCGGTCGTGCATAACTTACTGGCCAAGTAGAAAGTATTCTGTTCTGAAGAGACGGTCGAATGTACTGCTCAATTATTCTCTGAAAGGGTGGACTCAGTAATATCAGCTTCACAATGCGGTCGTGCATAACTTACTGGCCAAGTAGAAAGTATTCTGTTCTGAAGAGACGGTCGAATGTACTGCTCAATTATTCTCTGAAAGGGTGGACTCAGTAATATCAGCTTCACAATGCGGTCGTGCATAACTTACTGGCCAAGTAGAAAGTATTCTGTTCTGAAGAGACGGTCGAATGTACTGCTCAATTATTCTCTGAAAGGGTGGACTCAGTAATATCAGCTTCACAATGCGGTCGTGCATAACTTACTGGCCAAGTAGAAAGTATTCTGTTCTGAAGAGACGGTCGAATGTACTGCTCAATTATTCTCTGAAAGGGTGGACTCAGTAATATCAGCTTCACAATGCGGTCGTGCATAACTTACTGGCCAAGTAGAAAGTATTCTGTTCTGAAGAGACGGTCGAATGTACTGCTCAATTATTCTCTGAAAGGGTGGACTCAGTAATATCAGCTTCACAATGCGGTCGTGCATAACTTACTGGCCAAGTAGAAAGTATTCTGTTCTGAAGAGACGGTCGAATGTACTGCTCAATTATTCTCTGAAAGGGTGGACTCAGTAATATCAGCTTCACAATGCCGTGCATAACTTACTGGCCAAGTAGAAAGTATTCTGTTCTGAAGAGACGGTCGAATGTACTGCTCAATTATTCTCTGAAAGGGTGGACTCAGTAATATCAGCTTCACAATGCGGCCGTGTATAACTTACAGTATGTTCAATATAATGGTTCATTCCTGCTAAGGCCCAGACGGCCAGAGAAATTATTTTCATTATACATCTGTCAATCAAAAGCGACGCGGTCACTCAAATCAATGCTAGATAATTATGTTGATGTTGTTCAGGGTGCTGTGTGCTTAGATGGCACACCACCCGGTTACTACTGGAGACGGGGACAGGGAACTGCGCTGAAGAAATGGATCATTCATCAGGAGGGTGGTGGATGGTGTTTCAGCGATGATGATTGCTTGAGACGAACCAGGACGCGCCTCGGCTCATCGAAGCACTTTCCGCCGAACAAGACTTTCGTGCAATCCGGAATCATGGCTGATGACTGTCAATCCAACCCAATATTCTGTGACTATAACTTTGTCTACATGCCGTACTGTGACGGAGGATCTTTCTCGGGGAACCGGTCAGTTGCCATGGTTACTTTGTCAAAGTATTTTCTGCTCACTGGGCCGGGCTGGTTGTTGCACAATACGCAGGGCCGTAACACCGTGAATGCAAGCTAATCCGGTCAAATGAGATACGTGAACAGAAACAAACATGGAGTCGGAAGGAGTGGACAGTATAGCGTAACTTGTAGTTCCTTGGTCTTTTCTCTTTTGTATAAAGAAACAAACTTTTTTTCAATTTCAGATTGCCTGGTTTTCAACCCTAGATCTGTATGTACTGGTGTGCACAAACTGGGGGGTCAACCTTTTGAAAACAAAGTTCGGCAATCGCTGACCGGGTGCAACAGCACTGATATGTTCTGGAAAAGTCGCTAGTACTTCGAAGTACTGAAGTACAAAAGCAATTGTCCAACGGCACACCCCTCTTGGCCTGCTGTCAAGTCTTAGAAGATTGCATCACATCCATTAAAGTCCTTGGAATCAGTGATTCGAGGCTTTGTATTGAGCAGCCAGTCGGCGTCTTAAGTAGTAAATTACCCATGGTTTTGTTCTGTTGACCTGTTTGGAATGTGTTGATGCATCTGATCTTTGTTGGTGACTGGTCTTTGAAATGTGTCTCTCATCTAAAATTATGTGCTGTGCTCGTGGCCTGCAGTGAGAAACCTCTCGTCGTGAACGGCACCAGTCTCTACATGAGGTAGCAGGCAGAATTTATCATAGGCTCTGCTGCCCCGTACAGGTTTATAAGACTGCACGCACTATAAAAACGTTAAGTTTGTATTTCACTTCCCACAGTCCTGGCCCATGATGATAGATTGTTGCATGGCAACTGTTCTCTGGGGTGCCCATAACTATGGTGACTCACTGTGAATAGAAAAAAAAGAAGAAAACATTATCGTGTCCGTTCCCAAAGGGAACTCACGATGGCCGCTAACACCCGGTAAACTCTAGCGGCAGATGCAACGCCTAACGGTGGGGGTTCTACTACTGTGAGTAGAACACATTCACAAACCCGTTATACTTGAATTGCGAGCCAATGATGTAATGTTACTGGCGATTAAGTTATGTTACTAGCTTATCTAGTGGCATAAATTTGGAGTAGCCTTGAACATGGAGCATTCTGGCAATGACAGCAGCACAGACGGGCAATGATGCTTGCCACATGATTTGTTGCATTGCTTTTGCTGACAGGTTTGTACAGTTTGTTGAATAATATCATGTGACCAGCAGTCATGCTGTATATGACTGTATTGACGTTCTCTGCATCAATGATTGCCGGTAGGGGCAAGAGGATTCTGGATGCCGTTTTCGACACCTTTTCTGGTCAGTTGAAAGAAGCAGAGGAGCTAATCCTAACAGGGAGCTCAGGTCAGTGGTTATGGTGAGCTTCTAATGAATGATTTCCTGCCCGGCATTGCAGACTTTCTCCTCTTCTCTCTTGTCCCTCTCTTGATCATATTGTTTCGAGGCACAGTGAAGAGCTCTCCATGAAGGGCTCTGAGTTTGATAATCGGAGATAGGCTTCCCATATGCTTCCGTGGGCTTCACCCACTCTCGCTCAACCTCGGAGTTATCATGCTCTGAGATGCCCAAATTAATCTGATTGGTTTAGTATTCCTGGATGTTCATCTCTACAGCTGGTGGTCTGGCAACATACCTTCATGCTGATTATCCTGTTGAGACACAGAGAATACCAAGCACTTGCAAGTATGCCGCACTGCCCGATGCTGGGTAAGCAATGTACTCATGAGCTAGATGGGCAGCCTGATTACTGTTGCTGCATAGTCCTTGGCATTGCATGGACCCAGACTTCACATGAGTTGAATGATTTGTAGTTGTTGTCGGGGCATGTACTTGTAGGTTTTTATGTTGTGGCATGCACACCTTCAAACAACTTTCTAACATCACTGTTCATTCTGCTTCTGCTGCTGCTCTGCTTTCGTTTGAGTGCACGATTACGTTATGGCCTGTGTGAAGCCGGTATTTGTGTGCTCCTGTAACGTTATCTCTGGTGTGGTCTGTGTTGTTTCTTAGGTACTTCATTGATACGCTGGATGTAGACGGACAGCGCTTTGAACGAACACGGATGTTGTATGGTAATGATCAAGTTGACTCTGTTCTTCGAATTTCTAGAGTAACTCTGCAGCTATCTTCTTCAGTTTTCAATACTGTTAGTACACCAGATTTTTAATTGAATGCTATTCCAAGTGCCCCAACACCCTACGTTGCTTTTAAATCAATAATCATCTTCTTGGAGAATCGGTCAGCAACAAAAGTCCACTCACTGTATATGTACTTGTAAATGCCAACAGTTTTGTTATTCTATTTGTAAAGAGGAATTGGAGGCGGATGATTGATAACAGGCTATGTAGGCACACTGCACCCAAAGCAATGAGATCATTTCCCTTGTAGAGAAACAGACGTTCCAGTTTATTATGTCTGCCGGTGTGCTATGGCTCTTTGCTTTGTGCATTGAGTACAATTCCGGCAGTTGACACTGTGACCTCTTTTAGACCCAAACCTATATGCTTCAGTTGCCGGTTAAATGATGCTGATTGTAGTATTTCCATATTCACTGCGCTTTCCCTTGAATGCAGTCTTCCAAACACAGAATGTGACGAGTGGCATGAACCAGAAGTGCGTTGCGGCAATGTCAGAAGCCGACCAATGGAAATGCTTCTTCGCCCAGTACAGCGTGTCCTACATCTCCTCGCCGATCTTTGCTCTTCAATCGCTGTATGATTCCAACCAGCTCAAGACCATACTACAGCTTCCATGCGTACCACCAAAGTGCAATGCATCAGAGTATCAGCTCTTCCTGAACTGGCGTACCGTAAGTGATTGTTGGGATTGGGAGGTAGCAAATACTTCAACTGTCTGTCTTCAAGTATAATTTTTTTAATGTAGTCTTGATACTACTCAAGTAGTAAGCTTAAAATGTTGGGAAGGTTTGTATCCACATCCCCCTGTTTGGGAAAGACTTCAAAAATCCTTACCTGCAAAGGCTGTACATGTAGCTCTTCAACCGATGAGGGAACTCAATTACATGCATGCATACAGTAGAACTTGGAGTCATCTTGTAGAATACACATTCAACAAGTGTCACTTGAAAAATTGACGTGAGTTGTGTGGCAACGAGAATAGACTCATTGCAGGGTATCATGTCTCACTGACTTTCCTCATATTTTGCTTTGTGCTCCTCTCTTCAGACCTTCCTGAAAGCGTTCACTTCGATTTTGAATCGGACGGCAAACACAGGTATTTTCGCTCCCTCCTGCGTCGCCCACACCTTGAGCCAGCGAGACAACACCTGGGAAGGCTATGTGGTGCACGGACAAAGGGCAAACGAGACGTTTGCAGCCTGGTACTTTAACCAGCCTGGCAAGTTGCACCAGGTTGTGGGCTGTGCATACCCGTGTAACCATAACTGTACGCTTAGATCTCTGCACTCAACTCGGGATACTGTGCTGGACGACCAATATGAACATGTGTATTAGTATTTACAGCATGTCAACTCTGGATTCCAGTATGTTAACTCTGGATTTCAGTATGTTAACTCTGGATTTCAGTATGTTTACTCTGGATTTCAGTATGTTAACTCTGGATTTCAGTATGTTAACTCTGGATTTCAGAATGTTAACTCTGAATTTCAGTATGTGAACTCTGGATTTCAGTATGTTAACTCTGGATTTCAGTATGTTAACTCTGGATTTCAGAATGTTAACTCTGAATTTCAGTATGTGAACTCTGGATTTCAGTATGTTAACTCTGGATTTCAGTATGTTAACTCTGGATTTCAGTATGTTAACTCTGGATTCCGCTTTTGTTCTCCCTTTCGTCAGCACATGTATTTATTCAAATTTCCGAACTTTCTTGTCCCGAGCTGATCAACTGCCAGCTGCTGCCCCAACTAAACTCTCTGCACAGCCAATATAATACTATGCCAAGAAAATCCCTGATAGTGGCCAAGGGCCAAAATGCTATATAAATTCCCTAGCTGTTTCTGATACTTTGTCGGTTATGCAGAGAGTATGGTCAAGGCAAGTAGCAAGTGGCCAGGTCGGGATATGAAAATGAGGCAACAAGAGGTGCATCGGCATCGCTTACATAATAATTATCATCTTGCGATATACATTGCTGTCGTTGGTGATGCTTACACGATGTTCTGAGATGTAATTCCGTGAAACACCCACACTCCGTTGAAACCGGTCCCTAATCTTCATTCGAAAAATACTTCTACCGTACATCCTTATTGTGTACAGCACTGTCATTGGTGGTGCTTGCTATCGTGTCTACCGTCGTACAGTACATGTATGCCTGGTTGATGAAAGGAGACATGTGATTGTTACCAGGACTGAGCAACCGCCAACCCAGGCCGTCACCATCAAACTGGCCGCCAAGGTGGTTCCCAGGTTTCCAAGGGGACTGATCAGGTCTTAACGCATGCTCCGTACGCGGAGGCATACACGACCCACACACAGACACAGCAGTAGTTGGTTGGCACCACAGGGTAACTGGGCGAAGGAGCTGGCAGTGTGTAACCATGGAGGCGGCCGACCCGACAGAGGCGGGGACCGAGAGTGAGACCGAAATGGCGGCTGACCTGCCAAGGGCAGTAACCGAATAGAGTGATTCGGAGTGAGACCGAAATGGCGGCTGACCTGCCAAGGGCAGTAACCGAATAGAGTGATTCGGGAGAGTAGAGAGAATGCTGCCAGCTACTGAGAGTTCAGTGCCCAATCCCTGCTTGTTTTTGTTTAGCAGAGTGAGTTTGGAAGACGAATGAGGTTAGTAGTATAAGCGGGGTGCTACAGAATAAGAATTGTAACACAATGAAGTCGGTGTGGGTGGGTGGGTGAAAACACGGAGCAAGAGTCATGCGAGCCAATGCAACTAACAAAGAGAGCCAGGCACGAAGGCTGCTGAAGGGCGTACGTATGCAAAGCGAGCTGCTGGGAGAGTTTGCGCATGCGCACAACGGCGCATCCGTGAGCTGGCGCGAACACGCGCGTGATAGACATCAGCATACAGTGAAAACATTACGTCACCGCGTTAACATACTTTAGCTACGCAAAACTTGCATTAACGCATGCTCCGTACGCGGAGGCATACACGACCCACACACAGACACAGCAGTAGTTGGTTGGCACCACAGGGTAACTGGGCGAAGGAGCTGGCAGTGTGTAACCATGGAGGCGGCCGACCCGACAGAGGCGGGGACCGAGAGTGAGACCGAAATGGCGGCTGACCTGCCAAGGGCAGTAACCGAATAGAGTGATTCGGAGTGAGACCGAAATGGCGGCTGACCTGCCAAGGGCAGTAACCGAATAGAGTGATTCGGGAGAGTAGAGAGAATGCTGCCAGCTACTGAGAGTTCAGTGCCCAAGCTAGTTACCCTGGTGGGCCAACCAAATAAATCAGTGCTCAGAAATAACGCGAGCATTGAACGAGGAGTATAGCAGGAGCTGCTAGCAGTCAAGAAATCTAGGTACCGATAGCGGTACTGAGAGTTGGTATGTATACCGGAGGAGACATTCGTCAAGGTGCAGCGCTACTGGTCAGTCACTCACTGTGGCTAGCTTCTCTGATACTAGCCGCACCTCGGATGGCTCAACACGGATATAGCGCAGCACGGCGTCGCTGCGCCATCGCCCCATATGGCGGATCACGTGCTCTGGTACGCCTGCGATAGCTGCAGACGTGGCTGCTCCGATCCGGAATGAGTGGCTGGCATAGCTGGACGGATCTGTAATCCCACAAAGCGGTAGGAGGGTCCGCACCTCCCTCGTGACGTCCGCTCGTGCCAGAGGCTGGCCATTGTGGTAGACGAGCAGCTGATCTCTAGGAGATTGGGACTCTGCCGACACTGCCGTCAGGTACCGCACCATCGCCGTAACAGGGCAGCTGATGACATAGGTACAGCCGCCCACGTGGACTACCGTGCCCCTACCGTCCGGGTCCGTCTTTGATTGCAGCAGCGTGATGGTGATACGAAATGATTGTTGGTCCAGGGCCACGTTGCCAAACGTCAACGAGGTGAGCTCACACTACAGCGCAGGAAGCCATAAAAGGCCAGGGTGAAGGCGCACTGCAGCATTGCCTAGTCAACTGAGTGCCGCATGGAGGAAACTTGGAGGCGTTGGCAGAGTTGCCGGAGGATGGGTGTTGTGATAGGCAAACGAGGGCGGCCAGGTCCCGACGAACGGGCTATGCCTCTTAACACTCGTGACAGCAGGGACGTCGGCTGATTCGGGTACTCGAGGCCCATTTCGACGTGTAAGTTCCAGATGGCTGACATATATGTGCGAACCGAGGCCGGCCGCAGTGTGCGCATGAGGAGGGCTGCGTAGTAGCACAGTGGAACGTCGCTTCCAGGCAGGGCCACAACGCCATGCTGCTGACAGAAATCCAGGTACCGCCGCTCTGAAGCTGAGTATGTCCTCCTGGATGACGGTGCTATTGCCAGAGAGAACCTTGTGCTTTGGAAGGTTGCTTGTTGCACGGTCAAGGTCGTACAGGCGCCTCAGGAAGGTACGACTGACAGGAATAGCCCGGGCCGCGAACGAGAGATTGCCCAACACGGAGGCGAGTTCGCGCCGGGACGCCATGCCTGATTGAAGGAGGCCGTTGACTTTGCCGAGATACGCCCCATGTTTGGCGGACGGTAACCGGATCTCAAACGTCAGCGAATCCAGCTCCAGGCCGAGGAAGGTGAGACATGTGGATGGGCCTTCGACTTTCTCAGAGGCCACCGGTATCTGCAAATAGCGGAGCATGTCTAAGATATGTGAGCGATGATGTTCCGCAACGGGCAGGTGGGGCGGACTAACGTTCAGAAAGTCGTCCAGGTAGGGGAGTAATTGGCTTAGGTGGCATGCATCCTCGAGAATAAACTGGACTGCTGTGGCGAATTTATCGAATATGTATGGCGCAGAACGCAATCCAAATGGTAGCACTTTGTCATGATAGAATTGTCCCTGCCAGAAGATGCCCAGAAGAGGCCAGTCACAGGGGGCAACAGGACAGAGACGGAATGCATTCCTGTCGACCTTCGTCAAAAGAGCGCCACACCCTGCCTGCATGATCAGAGAGATAGCTGTATCGACAGTTTCGTACTGCAGGCTGAATTCATCCCGAGATATACCGTCATTCACACTCGAGCCGGCAGGGGGCGAGAGGTCGTGGATGATACGCAGTTTGCCATCAGACTTCGGGATAGCACCCAAACCAGAAATATGCATGTGAGGGAATGGCGGAGATGCAAATGGGCCCGCAGTTTCTCCGCGGTCACAACAGTTAAGCAGATGAGTAGTAACCTCAGCAGGGCAAGCACAAGCCGAAGAGTGATTAGGAGACATAACAGAAGATGCAATGGGGCGAAAGCTGCCAATACGAAAGCCATACTGCATGCCTTGTGAACCATAAGAGCGAAATACTGCATTTGGATGAGGAGAGGGAAGATTGATAAAGCGCTGAACATGAACAGGCGTGCTAGTGGGCACCTATAAAGCAGCGTCACCACTGGGGTGAGAGTTATTTCTTGGTCGAGTCACCAGACTTGGAGCATTGGCGTGCGGGGTGACGGCCGCGGCACTGGATGCAGACGTGTGCTCTGGAGCAGGGGGAGAGCAAGCAGCTGCCGAAGTTGAAATTACGACAGATGGCTTTGCCGTCAAAGCCAGGCTGGTGCGAGAACTGGCTCCCCGTAGGCGCTGTTGGGGCTGGGAGCCCCCCACGAAAGGGGCAGCTGCTGGGCTGACTTGGATGGACCATGGAGCAACGCTGGCACGGAGGCCGCCCACGGCCCGTGAGACAAGACTGCCACAGGTTCGGGTCAATGACGGACCAGGAATAGCGGTGAGGGAGGGACGCCGTGGCCATACGGAATTTGCGGTCGTAGGACAGCCAGGCATCATTGTGGAACCGGACGTTGGCATCGACAATGATGGCCTGATACGCCCAGAGATCACCTGCCAGCTGTGGTGAGGCGTCGGCCAGCACCCTCGAGTATGTGGTGAACGCTTCCACCCATGTGGCAAGATCATAGATGTGTCGTTTGGCGGGTTGCCGGTGGGAAGATTTGGGGACGAGCTGCACAGATCGGCCCGCGCCCACGTCGAGTTGCATCACATCATGATCCCCCTCGAAGCCCAGGGATTCAGGCAGCAAATCGCTTAATTCTGTGAACTCACCTCGCACAATCCGGTCTCGAAGGCGAGGCGGCACCACGGGGAGGTCTCCAGATGACGGCCACTGTTGTGTCGGGTGGCTGGCAGCCGGTACTGATACTGGTAAAACCGGCGCTGCAGTGGCGATTGATCCGGCAGCACAAAGCGAGGCCCCGCTGAACGTCGGAACATGAGCGAGTCCCGAGTTTACGCCAGTTCCTGGGCCGGCGAGTTGGGCTGCGCCAGCCTGCTCCAGCAGGGTAACCTTGTCGGCCAGAGGCTGAATAGCAACAGCCACGGCGGCGGAGATCTGGCTCGCCAGCGTGGGCTGGGGTGGGTGGCCGGCCGGCATTGACTGAGACGGAGGCACTTGGCCAGGTAGAGCCGAAGCACGAGGAGCACGAGGCGGCGCGAGGTTCTGGGCCGGGGCTCTGGCCTGGGTGGTTCCAGGAGCAGGGGAGGATGTTGCTCTAGCGTAGGGGCTAGAAGATGACCTGGCGGACCTGCGCGACATCTCTTGCCTCAGCGTGGGAAAATTTGAGAAAATTTGAGTAAACCACTCCGCGGATACAGCACTCAGAATTCCAGCCCGCCCAGGGACTGGACACCACAACTAGGCAACAAGAGACCGAAACGACGATGTCACCTTGTACAAGGAAGTCTGAACAGAACTGAAGAACTCCGGAGTTTGAAAACACGGAGCAAGAGTCATGCGAGCCAATGCAACTAACAAAGAGAGCCAGGCACGAAGGCTGCTGAAGGGCGTACGTATGCAAAGCGAGCTGCTGGGAGAGTTTGCGCATGCGCACAACGGCGCATCCGTGAGCTGGCGCGAACACGCGCGTGATAGACATCAGCATACAGTGAAAACATTACGTCACCGCGTTAACATACTTTAGCTACGCAAAACTTGCAGTAAATAATCAACGAGGGTAGTGCACAATTGTTTGTAAACCATACTCGGTAATACATGACGTGATGTGGTTAAAGGGGAAGTATACCCTAAAATCAAAATTTCACCAGTTGTAGTCTTCTGGGTGCTGAGTCGAATGGTCTTGGTCCGAGGAAGCTGCGACGCTCCCTTCCTACTTGAATCCCAATCGAACTCGCGCACTTCCACCGAAACTGGGTGACTGCGCCCTACTAGATGGGGATTTGTATGCAAAATGTCACTAAAAGCGCCATTTCGTTCTTATAAAAGCACGGATGACCGCGATTGGCCCATATGTTGTAGTCTTTTGGACGCTGAGTCGACTGGTTTTGGTCCGAAAAGGCTGCGATGCAGCGTTCCTCCTTTATTCCCAATCGAACATGGTTGAACAAGCGGTCACGTGCTCCTGGGTGCCCAAATCACCTGGTCACCGCGCCAGCAGGCGACAACTTTCACACCAAGGTTCAACTCGAGTTCAACTCGAGTGACAGGACTGCACCCAAAAAAGGTCAAACAGGCTAGTAAGTTGTACCCTGCAGGCACGGTGACCAGCTGACTGGTGTACGCAGGAGCACGTGACCGCTTGTTCAACCATGTTCGATTGGGAATAAAGGAGGAACGCTGCATCGCAGCCTTTTCGAACCAAAACCAGTCGACTCAGCGTCCAAAAGACTACAACATATGGGCCAATCGCGGTCATCCGTGCTTTTATAAGAACGAAATGGCGCTTTTAGTGACATTTTGCATACAAATCCCCATCTAGTAGGGCGCAGTCACCCAGTTTCGGTGGAAGTGCGCGAGTTCGATTGGGATTCAAGTAGGAAGGGAGCGTCTCAGCTTCCTCGGACCAAGACCATTCGACTCAGCACCCCGAAGACTACAACTGGTGAAAATTTGATTTTAGGGTATACTTCCCCTTTAATAATAGGAGCGCGGAGTCCATTCATTCCCCTCATTTAGGAACGTCCTGTACAGTGTGCAATCCGTCAACGAAATCTTTTTACCGCACTCACTAGAAAACGAAAGCAGCAGCAGAAGCGATCTGTGTTTGTACAGTCAGGGAAACTCGCCGTCATGGAGACCAAATCTATTGTGATCACCACCTACGTAAGTCGTTACCAGGTTATCATCATGGTTATGGCTAGACTGTTGCCAAGGTGCTGTGCAAACAGGCATGGGCTGGCGCTACGCGGATATCTAACGTCAAGTAGCACTACTACGCTTGGTTACTGGCAGTGGCAGGGATTCGTATAATACGACTCCCTGGCTACTGGTAATCATTATGGTTACAAGTACACATGTTGGCGATCAATGAACGGGTAATAAGTTTGTGGCTGTTTACTTCGGACGAAAATACCTAGACTAAAAAGGGCTTGCGGTCTCCTTGAGCTTTGCGCTGGGAATTCCCTGGTCTCCCCCGGACGTGAAGATGAGTTACAGCCTGATTACTTCCACTGGATCCAGTGCTGTGTGTATTCTTCTCCTACTCCTTCCTGCGATCAGCTCCTCGTCACTGCTGGCTAACGCTCGATCGGCCACGGTCGAACTGACACTTCTCACAGAGGCAGCAGGCAGCAAGGTGAGAGATTCACCATACACCAACAAGCGAGGATAATAGTAGTATCGGATCAGCCAAGGCACTGGGAACATCCTCGCAAAAGCAGATGATGCATGTACATGTACATTGTACACGTATAATTATGACGAAATGAATGATCTTGGATCTAGATTTGGGATGGGTGGATCTGACAGTAGGGACCTTTCGCATTTGCTACGAAACGAATGCGAAACGAAAGTTTGATTCGGCTCGTAATCGTTTCGTTGAAAACAGATTTCAGGTTTCGCAAGTCGTCATGCAAATGTGCATGGCAACTACGAATACGGCCGCGGGCTCCGGTAGCTTGGCGTACGGGATTTTACACGCACACGTGCATGGATCATGGAATCAGGGGAAAAATGTGTACCTTGCAAAACATGTGTACCTATCCAAATAAATGTGTACCTGACGGATTCGGAGCGTGCCACGAATGAAGAGGCCTCCATTCGTGAAAACGAGTTCTCCGCAGGGACTCTGACGAATCCTCGAACCCAGGTGACGAATCAGCATTCGTTTCGTATCCGTCCGCGGGGTGCGAAAGGTCCCTAGTGCTGCCAACCTTCCGTATTTGTACGGAAATTCACTTCTTCGTCCGCAGTACGGAAATTGACCGAAATCGTACGGAAAACTGAGAAGTATGGATCAGCTGACGATGAACCAGTTTTTCTACAAGTCATGTACATGGCATGTTACTACATGTACATGTACATGACTATGTACATAATTGCATGCAGAGCACATAAAACTGCGGAGTAGACCTACTATCACGCTAAAAACAGTGTTCCTGACTGCAACCTCGAGCCTCAGACAGTGACAAAGCTTTCAAGCGTTGTGTAGAGTCTACGTGTGTTGCACACCATTGCTGGCTGTCCTACACTAGGCTACAGTTCGCGTGACGCATTACTTCCTGGGACCAAGACCATGTACGACTTACTGAGCACCCGGTACAGTACCCGAGCAGGTTGGCAGCACTGGGATCATCATAATCATGCCACCATACGCCTGGAGAAGCATCACTTGAATATCCAATGCATAGGTACACCTGCACAATGTCATGTCGTTCGGAGTCGGTTCCACTAGACAAGGGCTGTGAAGGAGGCGTTCAAACTGCGGATAGTAGAATGCTCAGCTGTTTAGTGTTTAGTCCATTGTTGGGCCGGCTATTAGAGAAATGAGGCACATACACACACACACACACACACACACACACACACACACACACACACACACACACACCTTGAACGCCCATTGCCGTAGCAATGATAGCGATGGCTTCCTCACGCTGAGGCTCTAAACTCGAAATCTGCAGTATGGCGCATGCCGCTTGAGGTCACCAGGACGACGGAACACTCTGTCACAGCGGTAGTTGGGGCACGGGATGTCTGGGGCTTCCTTCTCGACCCTCTGTCGACAACACTGAAACCAGGTGGATCTCTCCTGCGCTGTGTCATACCAGTCCGCTTCAGGCAAACCAACGACAGCAAAGTCCGAGGACACAACATCCCGCCAGCGCTTCTTGGGACCATGTTGCGGGCGTTTGTAGGGCAGTTCTCCGAACAGCATCACACACACACACACACACACACGCCATGTGCTAGGAATCCAGAGACAATAGACATACCAGCAGCCTCAGCCATGAAAGCTATGTAGTAAGTTAATGACTAGGGAGTACTGAAAAGGTTTTAGTACTCCCTGCGATACACTGGATTGTGGAGCCGAAACTACTCAAGCTTCCAAATGCTTTGGCAAGACGGAGGCCGTCCGACAGATTAGCAGGCACACACACACACACACACACACACACACACACACACACACACACACACACGCACACACACACGCACACACACACACACACTCTCACACACACACACATACCATATACACGCACATACAAACATGCACGCATACTGTAGACGATGTAGGTGGCAGAATAAGAGATTAGACGACAGCCGAGCGTTATCATGGTTGATGTCATTGTGTTGTTCAGGGTGCTGTGTGCTTAGATGGCACACCACCAGGTTACTACTGGAGACAGGGACAGGGAACTGCGCTGAAGAAATGGATCATTCATCAGGAGGGTGGTGGATGGTGTTTCAGCGATGAGGACTGTCTGACACGAAGCAGAACTCGTCTCGGATCATCCAAGTACTTTGCACCGAATAAGACATTCCTGCATGCTGGTTTCTTGGCCGATGACTGCCAAACCAACCCAGTCTTCTGTGATTACAACGTGGTGTACATGCCCTACTGCGATGGAGGGTCTTTCTCGGGCAACCGGTGAGTGTTTGTGGAAGTAACTCCCTGGGTTTTCACGACTCCCCGCTCTAGCCAACTGCAAATCTGCCATCCCCTGCATACAGATTAACGAGAGAGCTTGGAAGCTCAGGGCCCTACGCTATGCTTTTTTTGCCTAGCTCATCTTGCATGTTATTAGAACTGATGCCAGTGATGGAAATGTTTTTTTTCCATTGATTGGCTACATCAAACGTTCTCTTTGCATTGGAGGGTAATACGACACTGTCTACCACCTTGATGACCTGGGCAAAAAAGCATAGGGATGTTATAATTTTTTCATTTCTCCTGTTTTTTTTTCAAGACATAACCTGGGATTCGAACCCGCACTATCGCCCTGCAAGCATTCCCCCGCTACACTTCGCATACATACTCATTCTTCCAAGTTGCTTCACGTTATGATCTTGCATTTGAAAGCCCTATTTGGATATTGTGGCCAGCTGTCTTTGATGGTATGGTACAGGACAGGTACGGGATAGCGCCAGGCATGCCGATGGCACTAACAAACAAACAAACAAACACGGAATTAAAGCTGTGTGGACCTTGGCTAGCACCAGACGTTACTGAAGTAACGTCTTTTGCATAGCTACGGGAATTAAAAGAGTTACTACAGAGGCCAAGTATGACAATAATTATTACTAATAAAGGGTGTGCATATTTCTTCCATATGTCTGTGACCTGCAGTGAGAAACCTCTCGTCGTGAACGGCACCAGTCTCTACATGAGGTAACAGATAGATCATACTCACTTATCCCAATTATCACTGCCTTGATCATGGCTTTCACTGCCTTGATCATGGCTTTCACTGCCTTGATCCTGGCTTTCTGTTTAGAACTGTGTGCATGTACCGTGTAAGAATCGTGGTCAGGCATATGTACCGAGTAATTCCCCAGGGAAACCGTTACATATTACGCTGGAGAACCTTATCTGTACTCATACTGTTTGTCGTTGGCAGGGGCAAGAGGATTCTGGATGCCGTGTTCGATACCTTTTCTGAACAGCTGGGAGAAGCAGAGGAGCTAATCCTCACAGGATGTTCAGGTGAGTGAGCCGCCGAACATACCAGTGATACCAGTGATTCACTGTCTCATCGACGGTCAAGGTTTGTGTCTACAGATGATTAATTATTATGACGAGAGTTCGTGTCAAGTGAGAGATAGTTATGATGTGCGACGGCTACGTGTGCGCCTTTACTGACACGTTATTGAATAGCCCGCTGCGTTTCACACGTGAAGAAAGGGAAAGAATGCTGTGTGTACCGAAGTAATGGTGATCACGCGCAATGGTATAAGTGCTCAGCCTTGCTGCACCCTCTCACTATTATTGTTACATGTATTGGATGATCGCTGCTCATAGACTTGCTCCATTTCAAACTCCTCCACCTTCTTTCCGTCCAATGGATGGGAGCTCTCCTGGTGAATCATAGCAAAATCTCTGAGGTGTCTTGAAAACATTCTTCTTTACCTTTCCTCTCATGGTTTAGTAACTCCGTTCTACAATCGTGTACTTCCTTCTGGCCAGACCTTTTTGGTGTTTTGACTCTCTTTCTCTACAGCCGGTGGTCTAGCAACGTATCTGCATGCTGACTACCCGGTTGAAACCAAGCGGATACCGAGCACATGCAAATATGCTGTACTGGCAGATGCAGGGTAAGCTCAGTATGTGGTGTTGTAACTGGAAGAGTCTAGACATGACTGCATGCTTGATGTCACATGCTTTGTTGCTTACGATACTTCCTTGCGAAGGTCAAAACAGGTATCAGTCCGGAGAATCAATAACTGCCGGTCTCTAGGTGAACCTCGCGAAGTAAAAAAAGAAAAGAAAAAGAACCTCGATCTCCTGCACTGGGATTGAATACGTTGATGTAATGAGATGTGCATGCCGGGCTGTATGTTCCGGGCGCTTTAATAGCCAATGCTGCAGTGGTGCTGGTTGAGGGATATGCCACTCACATCAGGTGTCTGATGATTGCCTGGTGGCATGAAACAACCTGAACGTTCTCCGCTGAGTCTGCAATCTTCTTTCGAAATAGAACATGGTAATATGGCTACGGTGCATGCAACGTAATAATGATTACCAGTATGTCACTATGATCTCGTGTCTGAATGTTCAGATACTTCATCGACGGTCTAAGTCAAAATGGACAACGTGCTGAGCGAACACGGATGCTGTATGGTGAGCCGGTTTCTTGTATGGGGCACCTCCTACTCACTGCCGCTGTTACTCTGTTGAGCTGATTGTAGTTGCAAGCTATCCTTAGTTGATGACGGTAATCCAGAGGTCGGGATTCGATTAAAAATTGTAGTCTGAAATACATGTGGATGCACAGTGATAGGGCCAGGGAAACCCGTTCTGTTTCAAACAGTGGGTTGCTTGTGGCATGTGCAGAGCTATGCACTAACGACGTCTCCAGATCTCTCCAGCCTTCCCAGACCTTTCCGGGTGAGATGAGGTTACAGGGTATTATCTTCTCTCTGCGTTTTTCTTCAATGCTCGAAGTTGTTCAGTCGCAGAACCTGACGAGTGGCATGAACCAGAAGTGCGTTGCGGCAATGTCAGAAGCCGACCAGTGGAAATGCTTCTTCGCCCAGTACAGCGTGCCCTACATATCGTCGCCGATCTTTGCCCTGCAGTCGCTGTATGACTATAACCAGCTGAAGACTGTGCTGCATCTACCCTGCATACCGCCCAAATGCAGTGCGTCAGAGTATCAAATCTTCCTGAACTGGCGGACGGTAGGTGAATTATGTTATTTACATACATGTACATGAGTAAGATCAGGTCTCACAGCTGCAAAAAGGGTGATCGACATCAAAAATGGAGCAATGATGGTGTGTGTGTGTTTGGACATGTCTATGCATAATGGCAAGAGTACATAACCCCAAGAGTGTGCAACTGCCTGCACAACCTCTATGCTGTGCTGCGACGGCAGAACTTCACATCACGTGACATGGTTCAAAAGGTTATGCTGGCAAACAGTGCAAAGTGACCACAAGAGAGTTGTACCCAAAGCTGGGCTGCGTACAACCCAGTATCTATCATGCACTAGAGTGCACGGGTTCATCACGTGATGTGAAGTTCTGCCGTCGCAGACCCCATAGCTGGAGTTGCACACTCTTGGGGTTATGTACTCTTGATAATGGTAAGAGTACATACCCCCCAGAGTGTGCAACGCTTGATCCAGCTCTGCATAGGGTCTTGGTCGAGCGGAATCGGATCTTTGCGTCATAATACCGTACACATCTGAGGGGAACCCGGGGAGTCGCGGGTACGCTTGGATCAAAAACAATGGTGCCCTGCCTCGAGACCGGCCTTGCGCTGGTGTGGAGTGTACGCACGACATCAGAAGATCCGATTCCGCTCGACCAAGACCCTATGCAGAGCTGGATCGGCGCTGCACACTCTGGGGGGTTATGTACTCTTGATAATAGGCGACAGCAGCAGAACAGCTAGGCATGTGGCAATGATGCCCGTATACTGTACTTGTTTTCTTCCTAAGATTAGAAACCAAACGGGCAGAGGTAGACATGGTTGCTGTGTTTTTGTCAAGTAGCACATCTAACGGCCATCTCAAGACATTTCCCAGCAATTTAATTACACGAATACTGAATAGAATACTACTTTTGTCACCATGGTAACAAGCACAGTACTGCACCCACTATGAGATGTACAGTGCAGCTCAATGAAATCCAGTGGCGTCACTCAAGTGCGCGCCGGGCGTTGCGCAGCCATAGACCTGCGAACACTGGGCTGCGAAACGATGCAAGGCGCAAACTTGAGCAACACGACTGGATTTCATTGAGCAACACTGTAGATGGAAGTCTGGCTTGCATACTGTAGTCTGTAGTACCCTAAACTGGAGCTCTTCTCTGTCACGATACGTGCACTTTAAGTATGATTCAGCCACACTATCTCAAATCATAACACTCAGTGACCTATACAATCCCCTGCATGCGTTTACATAACTGTGTTCATGGCTTCCTCGCATGTTTCTCCAGACATTCCTGAAAGCCTTTAGTCCGATCTTGAACCGGACGGTGAGCACGGGAATCTTCTCCGATGCTTGCGTCGCCCATTGTCAGAGCGTGGCAGATGCCCACTGGGATAACTACGTGGTGCGTGGGCAGCGAGCACACGAGACGTTCGCGGCCTGGTACTTCGATCAGCCCGGCAAGTTGCCGCAGGTTGTGGACTGCGCTTACCCATGCAATCACAACTGCACTGCCAGGCATACATTGCAGCAAGACGAGGAGCTCAGTGATCACTACTCATACAACTACATGTATGATGTTGAACCGGGTCTGGACGATGACAACAAACCGTAGCGGTCAAGCCTCTTACTCTTAGCATCCATGATTGTTCACGTATATATTCATGGAGAAAAAACCCCTATTGGGCTGAATTAGCCTCTATATCAACCATGGACATGGTTGGTTAGCAGTACAGTGTTGGTTGCTTGTTCCATCTGTGCATCTTCATACCGTGCACTGAATATTCCTCTACTAGTATTGCTATCTAATGACTCTAATCAACACCGTGAGTGTGTTAAGTACAAGTAGTACATATTATGTTTGTTGTTTGCACTACATGTACATGACGTATGTACCATTTCCCTCAAAAGCCTTGCGTCGTTCCCAGAGTGGATGCAAGATCATGTTGAAATGACCAATACTAGTAGTGTCGACATTCAGATCGAACGATCTTGTTGAAACTGAGACAGCGAGAAACTCATAGATCAGGTTTTAATAGGTTGCACGTGGCTCGTACCAGAATGCTAAACGCCAAAGACTGGACGGCTGGACGTATACATATGCCAAACGTGATTGATCACCTCCATACCCGGTGGCACATACATCTCTACAAAGCACATCTGCCGATGACGTCGTACAAGCATTAGAGTGCAATATAAGGATCGCATAGCCTCTCACAACATGCAGTGCAAGTGACTAGTAAGTCCCTTGATCTGGGCATGTACGTATACGTACAATGACAGCAAAGGCAGAAGAGAACAGAGACAGGCGGCTAGATCCTTGTTGTAGAATTCTCGCCGTTGTGTATAAGTACAATATGTACAGCACAGTCTGCACGGTACTGTAAAACATGTAATTTTCGGTGTCACTTTAAAATTCGGTGATTTCGGTAGAGAAACCAGGCACCTAAATTTAAATTACACCTGAAAGGCACTAGAGTATGCACTGTATGTGATGGGAACGCTGGTCACCTAATTCTAAATTACACCTGAAGCCTGGCAGGTCCCTGGCACCGAAATTTCAATGCACCTAAAATTACATGTTTTACAGTATTACTATTAGTGGTGTCTGCTGCCTGGTCCACGTTCAGCTTTATCCAAATGACAGCGTCAAATGCACAGCTCCACATTGTCGGTCAGTCATGTACACGCACCCCTACCCTGGTCTAACACATGAACATAATCATTGTGCACACCCGGAAAAGTCGAGGATCTGTTCATTGCCCATTTTCACAGCATTAGGGGCACATGCCAGGCATGGGTTGCATGTGTTCACAATGCTGTAGAAGCGATACTACAGTGGATATGTTTCCATATGTCAGTACCCAGACACACACAGATAAACAGACAGACAGACAGACAGATACACACACGCGCACACACATACATACACAGATACACACACACATACAATACATACATACCCAATGCTGTAGACAGCAAGCTGTTTCGGCCATAAAGGCCTCATCAGTACAGCTACGAGCTAAATAGGCCGAGCTACCAGCCATGGTGCAAAGGAGGCACCACAGACATTAAGGTAGCTCGTCGCTCTACATACAATACATACATACATACAATACATACATACATACATACACACACACACACACACACACACACACACACACACACACATACAGATACACACACCATGCGTACACAGACGTACACTTGTGTCCAAAGAAAAGGTACCACATAAGGGGCCTTCCGTAAATACCAATATTTATTTATAAACGAAAACTAGTCGTTTCCCTTCAAGCCGTCGTTGATGGTATGGTACGGTACGGGATAGGTACGATCGAGGGTAATACGACACCGTCTACCGCCTTGATGACGGCAAAAAAAGCATAGGGATGTTATAAATTTTTCAATTCTCCTATTTTTTTTTTCAGGCATATCCTGGGATTCGAACCCGCACTATCGCCCTACATGCATTCCCCCATACACTTCGCATTCATACCCATTCTTCCAAGTTGCTTCACGTTATGATCTTGCGTTTGAAAGCCCTATTTGAATAGTGCGGCCAGCTGTATGTGGCCAGCTGTGTTTGATGGTACGGTACGGTACGGGACAGATACGGGATAGCGCCAGGCGTGACACAAACACACAAACAAACAAACACACAAATACCAAATTAAAGCTGTGTGGACCCTGGCTAGCGCCAGACGTTACTGAAGTAACGTCTTCTGCATAGCTACGGGAATAAATATCTATATTTGCGGATGGCCCCTAACAACATAATAAAAGAGCGTGCAACTCCCGCATATCCTGTTGTCCCGACAGAACTTGAAGTTGACGTCATTTTTATGATGCAATGTGCATGGTATAGCCATACTAGCAGACGTATCCTGAACCAGTGGCGGACACATCCTCACATCCCCACTAGATTCTGTGCAAACATCATGCAGGACTGGTGGAAGCAGATTTTGATCGGTCCGGCCATACCCTAGCCTTTCATACAGTTTGTGAATGATATGGCGAGTATACACATGACTTTCATACAGTTTGTGTATGATATGGCGAGTATACACATGACTTTCATACAGTTTGTGTATGATATGGCGAGTATACGTGACCTAAAACGAATAGTAAACACGCGGTGGTGGCCAAAAGGTTGGTCCGGCCATGGCTTGACCAACCGGACCGGTTCCGCCGGGCCTGCAATATGTGCCAGTAAACACATGTGGCGGGTTGACAGCTTTGTAGAAACGTCGGAAATCACGCTCGCAAGGAGCATTGCATCGTGAAATCCAGTCAACTTGAAATTTTGTCGGGACAGCACTGCACGCGGGAGTTGCACGGAGTTATATACACGTGTACTCTTCTCCAAACACAATTGTGCCCCTGTTTCTGAATGGACTGTACCGGTACTAGATAGGTCACATCCCTGATTTCAGTGTTCACCGTGCATGGGGATGGGGGTGCTAGCTTAAAGGGGAAGTATACCCTAAAATCAAATTTTCACCAGTTGTAGTCTTCGGGGTGCTGAGTCGAATGGTCTTGGTCCGAGGAAGCTGAGACGCTCCCTTCCTCCTTTATTCCCAATCGAACTCGCGCACTTCCACCGAAACTGGGTGACTGCGCCCTACTAGATGGGGATTTGTATGCAAAATGTCACTAAAAGCGCCATGTCGTTCTTATAAAAGCACGGATGACCGCGAATGGCCCATATGTTGTAGTCTTTTGGACGCTGAGTCGACTGGTTTTGGTCCGAAAAGGCTGCGATGCAGCGTTCCTCCTTTATTCCCAATCGAACATGGTTGAACAAGCGGTCACGTGCTCCTGCGTACACCAGTCACCTGGTCACCGTGCCTGCACTGCCCTGTAGGGTACAACTTACTAGCCTGTTTGACCTTTTTTTGGTGCAGTCCTGTCACTCGAGTTGAACTAGAGTTGAACCTTGGTGTGAAAGTTGTCGCCTGCTGGCGCGGTGACCAGGTGATTTGGGCAACCAGGAGCACGTGACCGCTTGTTCAACCATGTTCGATTGGGAATAAAGGAGGAACGCCGCATCGCAGCCTTTTCGGACCAAAACCAGTCGACTCAGCGTCCAAAAGACTACAACATATGGGCCATTCGCGGTCATCCGTGCTTTTATAAGAACGACATAGCACTTTTAGTGAGATTTTGCATACAAATCCTCATCTAGTAGGGCGCAGTCACCCAGTTTCGGTGGAAGTGCGCGGGTTCGATTGGGAAAAAAGAAGGAAGGGAGCGTTGCAGCTTCCTCGGACCAAGACCATTCGACTCAGCACGCAGAAGACTGGTGAAAATTTGATTTTAGGGTATACTTCCCCTTTAACCGTGGTAGGATGAAACATGTCCAGGATTCTGCCTGAATCATGCAGGCTCGGCGGAACCGGTCCGGTTGGTCAGGCCATGGCCGGACCAACTTTTTGGCCACCAACATGTGTGTTACTGGTGAGGTCATTATATACATGTGTATACCCTCCATATCATCACAGAGTATGAAAGGCTAGGGTATGGCCGGACCAATCAAAACCTGCTTCCGCCGGTCCTGTGAAGAATGATTGATTCAAGTTTTCCTGGCACTGTTCTAATCTCAATGCGACAGTGGATATAGTGATATTGCTAACTGCACAAAGCAACAACGGCCACTGTCCATTTTTCTTCCGAGTCCGTACAACTGGCCTCAGGCTCTGTCGGGCCCTTCCCAATAAACTCGGCGTATGAGTCGAACATGCAGTTCACCATTCTACTCAAGACAAATCCAAAAGGGCTACGAACTGTTACTGGTGCCCAAGAGTGAAACTGTGGTCGTCAAACCAGTTTGATATGTCAAGCAAAGTTTCTAAATATTGTAATGACAAACACAGCTACTTGCTATTATTGTAATACCTCTGTTCACAATCATCCACATACGTGTCGACGGTTCCCATCGAGTCGAAACTCACAGCTGTGATAACAATGCTGCCACTAACAACTTTCTACCCTGTCTGTAAAGTAATAGTGCATGATCAGGGCAGTCAGGCCTTGGCTTGGGGTACATGTTTGTGAGAACTCAAAAAGAGTCGACTTCCTGCTCTTGCACTTCGCAACTGCAGATCTGAAGACAACTTGGACAGGAACTGAGGAAAGGTGCATGGCTTTGGCTTGGTACCAGGATCCTGGATGCTACTCGGTTTCCACAAAGAAAAGCGAACTACCTAAACTACAATAATGTTTGGCGTCTTTGCAAAATAATTTTTGCTACTTTGTTGAGAGCATTTGCAAATTTATGTATTTTTTTAGTATTTTTACACCTTGTCCTCTGATCCTACGAGGCCACGACGGTAACCATGGTAACGCGGCCGGCGCGTCTCTCATGCTCATGAGTTATGTCATGAGCTCATGCCTGTGTAACCATAGTAACCTGCTAGACCGGATGCGGAGGGTACGGTAGAAAGGCCGGGGGTGAGGGCAAAGCCACATCCTATTTCAGGGGCCATTCTGCATTTCCGAAATCATTCTCCCTCGATCTCGTCCTTCTCTGCTGCGCGTTTGAGAAGTCTGCCCAACTAACTTCTTGGCAGTGTGATCTCGCCATGATCTGCAGTCGCTTTCTGCTCGACACGATGAGTGCCAGTTGCGACTTTGTCACCTGAACTGGTAAGTTTTCTCCTATTTCTGTGACTTTTATTTCGGCACAATTTCTGCCTTTTTTCTCCAAGGATGACAGCATCATGCACCACGCTGACCTTTTGGTTGATGATCCAATGATCTACACTACCCATAGGCTGAGGAGACTCTTTGTTGTCTCTTTCTACTTTGTATGTATGGCATTGTGTGTTGATAGCACCTCTTTTCTCTTGGTGTGCGATTTTTGTATTCATTTCTACAGGTGCTAGGTGGCCTCCAAACTACAAACTCACCCATCCCCATGCACTCTATCGCGATGGGTTCGGATTTGAACGTATGCTCCCTCCATGACTCTTGGCAAGTGTTGGCAAAAAGCTAGTTTGCCTCCTCACTCTCTAGCTCCTGGTCTCGCACAGATGGCCTCTTTCCAAATCTATGGTAAGCATGCATGCACGCACACATGTGTGGACCACATGGTTTAACTTTTGCCTCTGATGAAAAATTTAACCAGTTCTGCTACTGAATGTCAAGTGACGATACCCTTCTTACCATTTTCTGAGGCTTTATTGTTGCCTTTTTGGTTTCTCCAGCTGTTGCATTTCTTTTCTAATCCGAAACGGTGTCCTCCTGTCTCTTTAGGTGCTGCAAACCTAGCCCGGACAATTGTCACAAGTCCACTACAGTTCTGGCCATTCTGACTGACTGTCACCTGGTGAGTTTTCTGCCCTTTTCTTCACGTTCCAATTTCCCCAAGTATGATGACATCATTTTGACTAGAGTCTCTGACTATTGTTGAAGATAAAGTTCCGATCACTGACTTGGCTTCCCGATCCTTTCCAATGGTGATAGCTAGCACCCATGCTCCCATTCCTCATAGCTTTGTATTCTTTACTTTTTCCTGCAGATTTTCCCATGTCCTGTGCTACTAGGCAAGACACAGCACGAATACTCGGATATGAAGGTAAATTGGTATTTTCGCTCTATTGTTTGCCTTTTTTCCCCAAGTATGATGACATCATTTTGACTAGAGTCTCTGATTATTGTTGAAGATAAAGTTCCGATCACTGACTTGTTTGCTGGTCGTATTTGTTTGTTTATGCTTGCATGTACCTTTCTTAACCTCCGGTTTTCCTTTCTTCTTCAACCTGTTACAGAATGAGAAGATCGTCATTTTGCAAAATGGTGGGTTTCATCATTGTCAAGATACACTTGTGCATTTCTCGCTGATGTCTGTAATTTGCGCCTGAAGCTCGCGAGGTGGCTGGTAGCCTGCTAGCCATCAGCCTCGTGCACCTTTGTGATGTCAACTTATTCAACTGAGAGTTTTATTCTATTTCTTGCTGTTGAATGTCATTATGTCACGTTATGTTACTGATTCTTCTTTTATATTCTTCTCTTGTATTTTGTTCAGGTCCGGCTATTCGCCTCTGGCAATTCGGTACTGCTTCTTTTCTAATCTTCTCTTGTAATAAATTTGTCAAATCATATTACACTCTTCTTGTGTGCCTTGGGTTTCATTTATCCCCCGCATGTTAAATTCCGGAGGACAGGGGTTTATTCTGCAGCATTATCTGCAGGAAAATCATCAAGCTGTGGCACTTCCTGCAATTTTTCACCCTCCTTGCTGAGGACAACTAGTTGCACGAAGGGGTACTTTTCCTACTATCTTTTGCCGTCACAGATTGTATGTGAGTGAAGAAACTTGGAGAGACCCGTGCTCACCCACAGTGGCAGGAGCAATGTGCTCAAACAGATTGCAAAGTAGTAGTTCTTTTACTAATTTATCCACAAAAATTCAGATTCAGCGGGCAGAAGTGTAGATTCTGTGATTTCTGCGAAAATTGCCGTGGAATCTCGTTATCCAAGGGGACAGATTAGCTTCTCGCCATCGATGTATCGTGAAATAATGAATGTGGATCTACGTGATGTGTAGTTTTTATCTTCCTACATTTGCAAGAACTGAATATCGTGTAGATTGCATTTGGATTTGTTTATTTAACGTCGAATAACAAACAGGCAGTGTTGCCTTATTAGGGAGGTTTAGTTCCCACGTGACGGAAACGCGTACGTGGGTGATCCACGTTGCAATGTTGTGTTTAGTCACACGGAACAAACAAAAGCATGAAGGGAAAGGTCCAAACCTAGACGAAGCTACCCGGGCCTGAGAAGCTCATCGAATATTCTGATTTCGTGCTTCGGAAACTTCTTCAGCTGAGCACCCTCACAGCTCGCAAAATGCGCTCCATTCTGATTTTCACCAACGTTCTGGCGGAACGTGGGTGAGCCTCCATACACGGTATGTTGTGAATCGGAAAACGTCTGTACGTGGGTCACTGAGTATCACGTGGTGCACACACGTAAAGTACCCACGGATTACGTGGGACTAAGGGTGCGTTTGGTTGGTACGATCTAGAACAGGATCGAACAGCTGGTGCACATGGAGCAGCCTCATGCCAACCAAACGGTACTCCAGAAACAGAGCACATTTTTGTGGAAAAATGTGCCAAACTTGGTGCATTCTTCAAAATGTGTATGGGTCACCATGGTCACTTAGTACGGTACGACGAGTTCAACCCAAAAGCGTATGCACGTGATCATTTGGGAACAAAATCGATGTTCCCGCCAGGTTTCACTGTGAAAAAGTGAAACTGCTCGGTCTGCTCTGGCCTCAAGGCCGGAGCAAGCAGAACATGTTCTGGCCGACCCAGAACAGGTGCAGTCCCAACCAAACGCGCTGTTCTGGTGAATCCTGTTCTAGTTCGTACCAACCAAACGCGCCCTAAACCTCCCTATTACATGAGATCGACTAAAGTTACAGGCACACAAATGTAGGGGTGATCCGGGTAACCCGGGTACCCGTCTGTTTAGCTGCTGATCCGTCAGCAAAAAAGTACCCGATAGTCGTGTAGGATTGTAGGGTACAGTATTATAAGCTTTCTTGTACAGTTGTACAGTCAGTGCACAATTTTGTGTGTGTGTTTACCTCGTTCAATCCTGCTACATATCACGGTATCCATTGAAGCTACAACAATTTTGACTGTTAGCATGTAGCGCAGTGATCAGGTGATTGTGCACACTGTGCTTGTCGCGATGTAGTGTACTTGCATGACCGCGCATCCTCCTGGCGTGAAATCCGGAAGGCTACTGTAGCAAATCGTTGCCCGGAAATCTCTCTCCTATCAGAATGCCTGTAAAAGACATGTTGCGCTTATGATCCCAAGCAAATGCAACGTTTTTGGAAATAGTATGGCGGATAAAGGGTACCCGATAACCCGCCCGTTAATTAAGCCAGATACCCGTTTGTTACCTTAAAGGCTAACCGTTTCACCCCTACACAAATGTAAGGGAAAGATTAAAAGAAAAATAGAGTAGGATTTAAGACGGCAGAGGAAAGATTGCATAATTATTTGATCGGTGAGCAACGTTAGTCAGTGAATTTTCAGGTGGGGTAAGAGAGCGGTCCGGAATTGACCTGGTTTCTTCAGTGATCGTATAGATGCAGGCAACTTATTCCAGAGAGCGGGACATTGATATGAAGGGCTGTGTGTGGCGGCGGCAGATATGATCCTCGGGAAAAGAAGCAGGGGAACATCTGTGCTCCTCGTTCGACGGGTGTGTGACAGAGGTGTAACGAGGTCATGAAGAAGCACACTACAGTTATTATGAATTACACGAAAGGTTAGCAGGAGGAGTTTGCGGCAATACATTGATTGCAGGGGTTGAATGCTGAGGCGTTCAAAAAGAGGGGCAGTACATTCCTTATTTCACGATGCTCTGGATGTTTTATACTTTGGGTACAAAACGAATCTAGATGAAAGTCTTGCTTGGAGGTCCGTCTGTACCTTGTGCTCATTTCCTTTCAAACTTGGAATGTTTATAGTTTTTAGCAGTGGCTATGTACTCTTGCTTTTAGGAAGGGATGTTGGAGTACAGTACTATTGTATGGTATTCAGCAGACCAAGTATTGTCCACAGTAACACACACACGCAACTTCGTATGCGTAGACTGTATTGCTGCAATAATGCTCAATGTACATTATGCCCTTGCCAATACATAACTTCAGGGGTCGCACTTGTGTACTTAGACATCGCAGCCATTTTTGATTCATCACGCACGCAGCACGTGCGCGTCAGGGTCGTGCAGCCAATCAGAGTTACGGAAAATTCAAAATATCGCAGTATTTGGGCGATTTGTAAAGGGTTCCTTGGCAGCCGTTTATCTAGCTACGGCGTCGAAAATCGCAGGGCTGCTTTGACGGCCAAGTACGCGGACATCTATCGAAAGAAATTTTGAAATCGGTCAAGTAGAAGGGAAATCCGTGTGTAGGGCTTTTTCTGAGCGTTGTCGCCCTGCTTTCCAGTATTCTGACAGTAAATCTATGTCGTTGAGGAAAAAATTGATTCGGTAGATTTACGGAGGAGATTCTAATAAAGAAAATGAGCCCTCGATCATCGAAATCGGAGAAGAGATGGCTGCCAAGGAACATTTTGAAGACTGCACTGACCGCCGGGCGCGAGCCGCTCGCGCGATCGCGCAGTGTCGGAAAGTACATGTACTTGGACTGCCTTCGATTTGTTCATTTGATGCGCGGACGGGATCAGAATGATCTGCCTGCTGCAACGCTTTGCCCTGTGTCTTTGTTTTGGAACAATGTTCATGTACGTTCATTGCTTTCTTTCTCCAACTCGGCGATGCCGCGTTGCTGGACCATGACGACTCCAAGACCAACTCAAGCCGACACCGTGCGATTGTGATGTTTGTGTCACAGGTATCATACAAGTGCAGTCCGTGCAGTACGAAAAGTACCGATACGAGTGACATAAAACAAGGAAACCATACCGTCAGTAAGTCTCGATAGGATCGCTTTCCGTAGCAGGTGTACTCGTTGCTGGAATACTCCTTGCGGATCGAAGCAACTTTGCAAACAGAACGTCTTCCTCCTGAGAAATACTCCACTCGCATGATTCCCACGGTCGTTGTTCTGAGTATTGACACGCGAATTCAAAGCGGGAATACTTGCGCGCAAGCCTTAGACTTCCACTTACCAGTAAGTTTGCTGTTGTGACTTACAACTAAATGGAAGTCTATTTTGAAAGGAGAACGGGGAAAGAGAACATCGCCGTGTCAAAACAAGAACGGTATCAGTGAAGAAGAAACTCTGTTCACAGAAATCATAGGTAGCTAGCTACACTGTCTACAGCTTTGTAGCGCTTGTACAGTTTTTGTATGCAAACAATGCATTGAGAACCACACACGTGATCCAAAAGAGCACGCGTCGCGCATGCAGTCAAAAGTAGTGTTGAAACGAGCGTATCTATAACAAACGAGCTATCAGTTCCACTAACGAGCAAGCTATCGAGCGAGCTAACGAGTTTCATTGCTGTGGCAAATATGATTATTTTTTTGAATATTTTTTTTTCTGAGTTCGATTTTTTTCAGCTGGTTCAAATTACATGAATTATCACCGCCGGCATTTGGAGTTGCTGCTGCTTCACTTCGGACTGCTGTTTGGTGTCGAGATGTCTTTTCAGCGCCGTCGTCGATTAGCCTTTGTAAGAATAGACCGTTTTGCAAAGATTGCAAGTAGCCCTGGTCTTCGCTGCATCGCGGGAGAAAACTTCCAAACGACGGAGCGTAACTTTCACTCGAATGGAGAGGTGACCGAAGCATATCCTGCGACAGGTCAGCAGATGCGGAACAAGACATCAGTAGAGTCCACCAAAGCTGCAACGACAACTGAAACAACTCAAGTGTCGTGCAGGCATACAGTCACCTGTAACTGCGAGTGATTTTCACTTTGCGCGGGACTGGACTCTCAATCGACCAGGGAGTCGTAAAATATTTTACGACTCCCCGGTCGACATGTACTGCCATGTGTACGGAGTACGGTGTACGGTGTTCGTTAGTGCAAACGAGCTGGCCGCACAAACGAGCCGAGTTTCTGGCGAGCGAGCTAACGAGTATCCGGTGAGATCGTTTCAACACTAGTCAAAAGCAAGATGGCCGCGATGTCGAGAGCTGATCATGATACCAAGTGCGACCCCTAAACTTGTTGCTTACACGACCTGAAGGCAGTAGGCACCCCTGCACTGTGTGTTATGAACTCTACTCTGTGGACTCACTATAGTCCTATTACAGTACAGTAGAGTCGCGCGCTGAAGAACGTGGAGCCCAAGAATGTCCAGCCTGAAATTCTAAGAACGCCACAGCCTAAAGCTAGGAAAAAGCGCTTTTTGACGTCATCGTTGCTACAGAAACGGCTGAATTTTGCGCTTTCTACGAAGTACGATTTGGTGAGGCAGCGTCAGACAAGGGAGACTATTGTGCGATAGAAGCATGCGCACCATGATATCGGTGCAGAGCAAGATGCAGACAACGGCACGGAGTCTAGTTCCAGGATCCATGGCTGCACTACAAGCTCAAACCTCCCTGAATCTCTCAAACAAGCACCCTGGTTCCAATGTGGCAATTGAAGCTCCCAGTACAG